ACTTCCAGAGGCTGAATGGAGCTCAAGAAATATTTTAACTATCATGAATTGTTTTTCTCCCCCACCCTGTGGGTAAAGCCTTTCAACGGAACAGAAGGAACCCAAGAAGAGGTTCATTTGCGTGGCATTAAATAGAGGCACAAATATCAGGTATGTATTTAAAAAGAAACACAGTTCCTTCATGTTCTTTTGTTAACTTCTGTGTTCAGATTTATGCTGTGGGTAGTAGGCTGCCCTACCGATTTTTAAAACATGACTAGACACGATACACTTAAGGCATATTTTACAAAGATGGTTCCTTTTCTGTCCTGGGGTGAATCAAAACTACCCTCACATGGCATTTGGGGGCGTTTAATATCAGGGACAGTACGTCTCCAGCCCCATCTACCTGCCACACAAAACAACGGTCCTCATTGTTGCTGCTCACAGTAACTCAGACATCTGCAGCTCACATTACTCAGATGAAGTTTTGTGTAACTGAGCAAGTGTCATGTTTGTGGCATCATCGTTTACATACTTGTAAAAATCTGTTAGAATACAGAAAAGCCTTTAAAAATGTCTCCACGTACAATTTCCTAAGTATAACTACAGTCACGTAACTACTGAAAGCATATGGAAATCAATGCAAATTCAAATCCTCTACAGAAAATACATATTCTGTAGGCAGCCGGAACAACAGGCAGCTGCCACAACTACTAGCACACCAGTTTGGCCCCAAACCAGCTCCCGCTGGCCAAGACACCCCAGGACACTGCGAGCAAGGATGCTCCACTGGCAATGCCCGTGTCCACCCTGACTCCCGCCAACCTGCCGAACCACCAGGCACCTTCTACACAGAGGCCACTTCTATATGAGACTACTTTTTCAAGTTCGAGAGAGAGAACCATTTCATTTCATTCACAGGAGCAAACACAGGAAATCAAACAAAATGGGGAGACAGACGAATATGTCTCAAATGAAGGAAAATGACTCTGATGAAATGAAGATGAAGTAATTTGCCTGATAAAGGTTTCAAAGAATGGATCATAAGGATGTTCAACAATCTGGAGAGGAGAATAGAAGAACTCAAGAGAGCATTTCCATAGAGAGTTGGAAAATATAACTAAGAACCAATCATAGGTGAAGAATATAATCACCACAGTGAAAAATACACTACAAGGAATCGACAGCAAATCTGTTAATATGAAGAGTGGATTAGTGATCTGGGAAACAGAATAGCGGAAATCATCAATCAGAACAGTAAAATGGCCCTGGCTGCTGTGGCTCAGTGGACTGAGTGCCAGCCTGTGAATCAAGGGGTCGCCAGTTTGAGTCTCAGTCTAAGGCCCATGCCCGGATTGCAGGCCAGGTCCCCAGCAGGGGGCGCACGAGAAGCAACCACACACATCAATGTTTCTCTCCCTCTCTTTCTCCCTCCCTTCCCCTCTCTAAAAATAAGTAAATAAATAAATCTTTAAAAATAAAATAATTTTAAAAAACAGAAAAATGTGAAAAGAATTTCATAAAAAGAAGGTAGTATAAGGGACCAAAAATAATGAGTGACATGATAAATAAAGACAATGTATGGCTTGTGGCTTCCATGGTTATTATTACTATTGTCTTTGTAATTACCCTGATTATAACTAGTATTGCTGCTGATGCTGCTACTGCTTGGGGTAAACTTAGCCTTTCTTCGAACACAGAAAAATCCTCAGGTAAAGAGTCATTATCAGTGTTAATAACCACTCAGTGACCCTGGCAATAAAGGGCAGATCTGGCTGAGTGTTTGCTAGCTCTTGAGTATTCCTTAAAAATGAGCACGTTTGTATGGGAATTGATGTTGAAACACTGACCTCATAGGAGACTGTTTTCAATTTTCCTCTTGATTCCTTAAGAGATGGAGTGGTTGCTGTTGTGTTAAGTTATCAGGTTGATATTTAATTCTGATGTGTAAGCGTCAAACTCACTTGGCGAGGAGGACTAGGACGCATCCTATTCTGATAAAGTCCCATTCACCTTCTCCACTAATCTCCTTGTGTTTTTAATGTAATTCCAAATAAAGGAGGGTAATCTGAGAAGTCATCACAGAACTTAAATACATGATTCGTGAAAAGAGTAAAATGCTTTATGATATGTTTTTTGGAGGAAAAATCACTTTGAAATATAAGATATTCATGAGTAGTACTTGTTTAGGTGCTACAGAATAACCCTCTTTCTCTTTAGGTCAGAGGGCAAAGTGCACAGCTAAGGAATCGTCCAGTATCACAATGAAAAGTCTTTTCTGATAGCATAAAAACAGCACAGGCACCTCGTCAAATACCATTGTGTTTGATTGACCACTGCCTAACTTTCAAGAAGACAGATCACAGAACTATTTGTCTATTTTTAGACATTTAAAGAAAAACAGAATTTCTAGCTTCCAGCGCATTTAAAAATTGCTTTAAATACCTCCTTAAACATATGCCACAGCATTGAAGGCTATTCATTTCACTGGAAATGAATCATGAGGTACCAAAATGTCTGCACATACAATCAGTATGTGTTTCCCATAAAAGGGGGAACGATTTGCATGCATCCTGAGAATACATTTTCCTGAAACAAAATGTTAAATGTCTCAAGTAGATGAAAGGGGCAGGGTTTTCTTCCAAATACAACGACGTTCCATAAAAGTCAGTTTCTTCGGCACTATATCACTTGCAAGTAGATTTCTTCCCTCTCCAGCATACAGAGAAACGTACTTTATCCCTCCAGACACAGGCCTGAAACGCAGAGCTCAACACAAATACCCAGGCCAAGAAGCTGCTTTACAAGCTCATCTGGAGCCACCGTGCAGACAGTGCCTAAACCCTGCCTGACGCAGAGGGCAAACAGCAGCATCGCCATCAACAGTGTAAATGATCCCATTGGCCCAGTCCCCGACCCACAGGTCATGAGATGCCCATTTATGAAATGTCTTAATGAAGGAGTTAGGTGATGGCGTTCCAAGGAAGTTAAGTACAGGGGCAGAGTTCACAGGCAAAGAGCCCAGCTCATGCCAAACTAGCTGGATTTGAATTTTGATGGGTTAGATATAAACCTTATTTTTTTTAAATTTATTAATTGGTTTTTATAGAGAGAAAGAAGGGGAGGGAGAGACAGAGAAACATCAATTCGCTATTCTACTTTTTTTTTAATTCATTGGTTGATTCTTCCATGCACCCTGCGTGAGGATCCACCCTGCGGCGACCTCAGCATGTTGGGAGGGCACGCCAACCACCTGAGCTACCCAGCCAGGGCCGCATCTTATTTTAGTCGGCTCAAACCTGAATACTATGTCAAACATATCAGGAAATCCTAGAGTTTCGAGCAAAACAGGAGGCATTTTCCTTTTCTGTGTTCACTTAGAAGAATAAAGTGGTGATGGGAGGTGGGAAGGGTGTGGCTTGCTTTTCTGAGTATTTGGTCCCTGGACGAGAGACATCCCATGTCTCCTTTGCTCATTCATCGAGTGCCAACCATGGCTGCCACGCCCTCCTCCCCAACTCCTTTCCAGACGGAGTGTCCATCCCTGATACCATCCATGAGAAGAGAGGAATGACGCAGCCTGAGTGCGCTATATGCCAGCGTACCACGGAAATGACTTTTGAAATGTTTACCTCTGCCAGAGAACATGAGGTTTTCCATTTACCTTTACTCCCCTTCACACTGCCACGTCGGCCAAACTGATTATTAGGAGATGAATGATTTTCTGGGTTTTCATCTTCACTGGGCAAAGTCACTGATTTTTATAAAGCCTTCCTCCCTGGGTCAGCTGGTTTGTTTGTTAAACAAATCTTTATTCGGTGCCTCCCATGTGCCAGGTGCTGTCTAATTTACCAGAGCCACCGACCTCGGGTCACCAGCCACCAGCTGCAGTGCAATCGAGTGGCTCAGAAAATTTCACCCGCCCAGCGTTTGGGTTTGCACCATGATCAGGTTAACAGAAGGCCTGGGGAGAGCCTGCCCACCCACTCACTAGAAGTTCCAGGGCTCCTGCTGTCCCTTTCCAATCCAACCCACTCCTGTCTGTCCGGTGGGAGCTGTCTGCTCAGAAATACATGTCAGGGGGAACAACTCTGGGTCACACATCTAGCTGCAACTTCCAGGTCAGAGGCCAACATTTAAGGATCATCCCGTCAGGTACCATTCATCGGGACAGACTGCTCCAGGGCAACACGGGACACTTGGGGTTTCCTGTCTCTCCCTCGGTGACCCCCAAAGACTGAGCTGCTTGCCATTCTCTTGTCTCCCTGCATTTCCTTGCCCCCCCCCCGCAAAATGTTAAGAAATGTAGCCACTCCCTATTTAGGGTAAAAGACAGGCACCAAGAGCAACACTTTCTATCTGCGGCTCATTATTATAGGGTTTTACTCTACTTCCCTGATTGCCTGTCTTGAGAAATTTGCAACATCATCCCATGATCGAGTCCGCTGGGTGGACCCGAGGAAAATGCTGCTTGGGGATGTTTTTCTCCCAAGGCACCGCTCCTTCCTTTCATGACTCAAGTGTCCCGGGACAGATCAAAGGATTGGGCAGAGTGGAATGGAGAGGCTGGAACTGGACACAAGATTTTCTTCCCTGTGTCAAATATAGTGGGGCTGTGTCGCTGGGTTCCACAGAGCATCCGAGGCAGTTATGATACAGCAAAATACCAAACCCACCATCGGTTACAAACTACTGGCCTTCTGGCTTGTTTCTCTCAGCCCACTCTTTCCATCCATAATAGTGCATCTCAGACTGATTTCAATCAATTGACAGCGTATTTCTAGACAAGTAATTCTGTAAACAAGCAATCGCTGAGATTATCACTTGGTGATGATTCTTTGTTGATCTATTTGGGATACTCTCCTCTGTCCCCATGGTATCTAATTCCAACCTCTCCTATCTGCCTAAGGGCTGTGGACTTCATCCAGCCCAGGAAATGATTTCAAAGTTTTTTCTAGTGAAAGTTCACACTCGTACTCAAAACATCGTCGGATTTTAGGAAACACACACGTACTCACTTGTTTAGCCTTGGTCTTCGTGATGGTGTCGGAAATAGGTTTCTTCCTTTCCTTCACAGCAGTTTTCGAAAACAATTCCTCAAATTCGTGACAATCTATGGATGGCTCTTCAATTTTTTCCCAAATAAGCGAAGCACTGGAGTCTCTAAAGTTAAGCAGAACACCAAGTGAAAAAAAAAACCATCAAACAGAACCATGAGAGAGCACGGTTCAGCATCAACACGAAGGAAGAAGGGGAGAGAAGGAGGGCGGGGAGAAAGAAAGGATGAGAAGACGTCGGGAAGGAAGGGAGCATTGGAGGGAGGAACAGAGAGGCAAGCAGGGGGAAGGAAGGGGAAAAGGGAAAGGATACCCCTTTCCTTTAAGACCGCCACTTCTTCTATCAGCTTGACAAGGAAGTTAAAATGACATCAATATGGGATGAAACCTTTGTCCAGAAATAATCATTTCCAGGAATTCTCCACTATCAAGGCAGTGTATAAAAATATAAAAGAAAGCCCTGGCTGGCGTAGCTCAGTGGATTGAGCGTGGGCTGCAAACTAAAGTGTTGCAGGTTCGATTCCCAGTCAGGGCACATGCCTGGGTTGCAGGTCATGGCCCCCAGCAACCACACATTGATGTTTCTCTCTCTCTCTTTCTCCCTCCCTTCCCTCTCTAAAAATAAATAAATAAAATCTTTAAAAAAAGCATAAAAGAAAAAGAAAAACCTCTCAGTGTGGAAGATGAAGGCAGGAAATGTTTGCTAGCTCACAATCCCAACCGGACTCATCAGCCCTGTACATGATTTATGTGTGAAAAAGAAATCATTTTATGATCACGCAGCTTTCATCTTCCTACACTTCCCATCGCACCGGTGTCACCTGACTTCACAGTAACTACAGGTTCAGGCAATGCCACCTACAGAGGGGAGATCCGTGCAGAAACAACAACAGGAGCAATACAACTTCATATAATATATCTGGACATACTTATTTTGGGGCATGGTTTAAAATGATGCATCAACACACATAGGTAAACAGTAACCACACAGAAAATGAGCGCCAAAGTTAGAAGTAAATATATAGATTCTTCCCCCCAATATGATTCAGTGAAGAGAAAAACATATTGCCCTGACTGGTGTGGCTCAGTGGGTTGAGTGCCAGCCTGGGAAGGAAGGGGTAGCTGGTTCGATTCCCAGTCAGGGCACATGCCTGGGTTGCGGGCCAGGTCCCCAGTAGGGGGCACATGAGAGGCAGCCACAGGCTGACGTTTCTCTCCCTCTCTTTCTTCCTCCCTTCCCCTCTGAAAATAAATAAAATCTTTTAAAAAGAAAATATTAATATGAGAAGTGAGAGCAAGCCCGATGAATATCCTGTTTCTAAATCCATGCCACATTACATGAACAAAATTCAAAAAACCATGAACAGGGCATGTTCTTTGGTCTCACCGGCACATCCCACAGCCACTCCTCAGAGCACTGCCCCAGGGAGCAGGGGACGCGACCCACGGACAATGCGTGGTTAAGTACTATGGCACCAGGGCGCCCGGGGGGACGTATTCTTTCATAAATACCATTCACAACTACGATTGTAAGACTTCACACTGTGCCGCCAACCTTCTGTAAAAGTGGCATAGAATTCTCAGAGCAGAACTATTTCACATCTAGGGTGTGGACATGTGTGTTTTTGTGTAACACATCTGTGCAGAGAAAGACACCTGCAAACAAAATGCCATAGTAACACGAGACTGTGCTTTTGAAAAAATGCAAACAACACCCTCCAGACTCCGTTTGCCCAAGGATTTGATTTACATTTATAAGCTACTGTCAGTGTGAGGTTCTGCTACTAGGCAGTAAGGCATGCATGCTAAAAATAAAAAAATAAAAAATAAAAATTACAGAGTCCGGCACAAATAACACCCCTCATTTATTACAAAATCATAAGCATGTATTTCTGTAACACAGCAATATCACACTCAAGCACACCACATGGCATGTTAGGTGAAATGTTCAAAACTATAAATTATTACACGCATATTATTACCCTACCAACCACACTCAAGCAGGTGTTACTTCTGCCGGACCCTGTATTTTCCTCTATCTTTAAAAGATAACTACTTATGTAGGAGGGTGCAGCCAGAGGGTCCCCAAAAGAAGGATTTGTAATGGGGTTCAGGACTCAAGGTGTCCAGGAAATATAAGAAAGATATATAGGATGTCTTCACCCTCTACCACAGGTGTGAGTTGGGGGAAGAGATGCATGGAGCAGGGCCACTGAAAGCTGTTTTGCATAGCAACTAACCTTTGCAGCTAACCTCTGGCGTGGTCATTTAACATATCTATGACCTTTAACTGGTTGCATAGATATGTTAAATAGCTGTGGCCAGTGCTCTGAGCCAGGGAGATGGAAGGAACTTCCCTCTAAGATGTAGCTGGGAGGCAACTCCCCCTGGTTACAGCACCTGTGTGAGAGCTTGGAGGTGATTGGCTCCACAACATGGGGCCACCCCTGCGCAGACTCATGATGGAGCCCAGTAAAGCTGGGAGGATATTTAAACCCAGACTTGGCAGCCATTGAGGAGAGAACCATGTGGTTTTGGCTGAGTGGAGACTTCTGCAGCCTGTAAAGAGAGAGCCACTTGGCTGTGGCAGTGGAGAGAAGCACATGGCTGCAGCCACGTAAGGAGGACCTCACACTTTTGGCACAGGGGGACCCCCCCCACACACAGCCATGAGAGGAATCACCACTCGGCTTCAGCAGAGAACCACCACGCGGCTTTAGCTGGAAATTCCGGCAACACCACCAATGGTGCCGGGAACCGAGGAAGGCCTACCAGCCAAGCACAGATTACTGGGAAGAACCGGGAGCTGCCTGAGACCCGACTTCTATTTCTTTCCCTGAGATATGGTACCCCAGACTGGGCAAAGGGTAAGGAAGGACTGTGTGTGTTTGTGGGTGTTTTAAGGGACTTTGGGATTTTGACAAAGACATTAAGTCATTACTCTTAAGACTGTGTAACTTGAATAAATAGTTCCTTTCCTTTTCACCAATCTCTAACATGGAGAGCTATAATTCTCTAGTGAAGGGAAAGGTGAACCTAGTACAGGGGGACTCCAGGAGAAGGGGGGGGGCCAATTCAGTAACATTGTGGGACCCTCTGGTGGCCAGTCAGGGAAAATCATGGGAGGCCACAAGCGCAGTAGCTTTAAAGTAATACAACTACTTGCACATGCGCAGGAAAAAGCCCACCAAAACTAGCCAGGAAGGGTCCGCCCTATAAGAATAGAGTCCCTCCAGCCCATGAGGTCAATCTCTGCTTGGAGTTGGCCTGCTCCCATGTTCTCTTCTATGAACTCCGGGTGTTCGGTTCAATTCTTTGTCCCCATCACTAAGAACCTGGTTACCTGTGCCCACCTGTGAGACTTAGACATCTGAACATCTTACGCATTGATACATACATGTCACTTGTTTTATCCTTTTGATTCTTCTATAGAAAAGTGAAATTTTAAATAACAGCTTGTTTCACTAAATATTTTAGAGCAGCACTTAAAAACACATTAAACTGTAATTCTCCCAGGTTGTAAAGGAAAATGCTTCCCTTGCACTGACCGACTTTGCCAAGGTGAGCTCCTGTTCGCGTTACCTTTTGCTGTGCAGCTGAATTCTCGTCCAGTACAGAGGCTTCATCGGCCGACAAGGCTCAATGGGCTGCTTCCTGCTCCCTTTGTCCTGGTTCATCCCTAAGCCAAACCAGCCCGTCGGCATCGGAGGGGGAAGAAATCCACACACCTGTGGTGCTGGTAAAGTGCCACCCGCAACTTGCGGGGGGAGTGGGGGGCCGGATCCAGGAAGCAGAGCGGGTGGGGGTGGGGGTGGGGGTGGGGGTGCAGGGACGCCTGTTCCAGGACCGGGAGGAGGAGCCGGAGCAGGTGGAATGCCCCCACCTGGCAAAGGAGGAGGTGGGGGTATCCCCACTCCGGGAAGAGGAGGGGGAGGGGGTATCCCCATTCCGGGAAGAGGTGGGGGAGGAGGTATCCCCATTCCAGGAAGAGGTGGGGGAGGGGGTATTCCCACACTGGGAAGAGGAGGAGGAGGGGGTATCCCCATTCCGGGAAGAGGTGGGGGAGGAGGTATTCCCACACTGGGAAGAGGTGGGGGAGGGGGTATTCCCACACTGGGAAGAGGAGGGGGAGGGGGTATCCCCATTCCGGGAAGAGGTGGGGGAGGAGGTATTCCCACACTGGGAAGAGGAGGGGGAGGGGGTACCTCCATTCCGGGAAGAGGGGGAGGGGGAGGGGGAGGGGGTATCCCCATTCCTGGAAGAGGTGGAGGAGGGGGTATCCCCATTCCGGGAAGAGGTGGGGGAGGAGGTATTCCCACACTGGGAAGAGGAGGGGGAGGAGGTACACCCATTCCAGGAAGGGGTGGGGGAGGGGGCACCCCCATTCCGGGAAGGGGAGGGGGAGGAGGTATCCCCTCACCAGGCAAAGGTGGGGGAGGGGGCACCCCCACTCCAGGAAGAGGAGGGGGAGGAGGTATTCCCACTCCGGGAAGAGGAGGGGGAGGAGGTATCCCCTCACCGGGCAAAGGTGGGGGAGGGGGTGGCAGCATCTCTGTACTGGGCATAAACGGAGGTGAAGGGACTGCGGTACTGAGGGGAGGGGGCGGGGGAGGCACCACGCCCAGGCCAGGCATGGAGCTGGAAGACCCAGTGCAAGGCAGGGGCGGCGGGGGTGGGACGTTTGGGCTGTCCTCAAAGGGCGATGACACAGACTGTTCGTGGCTGGTGTCAAGCTGAGTCTGGAAAGAAGGCTGGGAAGGCCCGGGAGCGGCCTGTGCCTGACCGTCCGGCCGCGGCAGGGGTGGCGGTGGCGGAGGCTGGGTGGACTGAGGTGCGTTGAGTTGCACTGATATTTGCCTTGGAGACACAATCAAAGAAATCTCCGAACAGAATTTTGTCTGAGGTCCCGAAGGCGGGGGTGGCACGGCCGCGACTCCGCTCTCAGCCCCTGGTGGCCAGGAGGGAGGCTCTGGCAGCGCAGTCACAGAAGGCAGCGCCGCGAACCCCCCTTCCTCCGTCGGGGACGTCTGGATCGACTGTGCCCGTAAAATCCTTTGAGGCTGTACATCCGTGTGTCCTAACCTGAGAGCTTCCAGGCAGACCTCGTCCGAGGGCGCCACTCCGTTCTGGACACCAGGCCGGCCGCTGGCCACGCCCGTGTCCGCAGCAGGGTACTGCTTCTCCAGTTCAGCGATTTTGGTCCTCAGGTCCTCGATGGTCTGCTCCAGCTGCTGAATCACGGTCGCCTGTCCCTCGGACTTCATGTCCACAACTTCCTGAAGGGCAGCAAAGACATAGTTAAAATACAAAATAAGACATCTCCAAATATCAAAAAAAAAAAAAAAGAAAGAAGTGAAATACATTTGTTTGTTAATTTCCGTAAAGGCTGGAAATATCTCTCCACCTTTGAATGTCAAAGGGGTTTACACACATTACCAAAAAATCCTACAAGCCTGTGCTTGTCCAGTCTTTAAATGCTATCCCTGAAGACAAGCAGACCACTGAGACTGGGAGGAAAATCCTGAGGACGGATTTTCTCACTTAGGATCACCTCTCTCCTTCCTGCCTAGTAACGTTTGCTACTAGGATGTTCCCACACGCACCCCAACAGGGGATCAAACCCGCAACCTTTTGGTGTACAGGATGACACTCCAACCAACTGAGCTGACCTGACGGGCCAGGGCAAAAAAAAGGCTTCTTAAGTGGAATCCACTTAAGACAATTGAGCAGTTACTTTGGGTTGGCTATCCCAACCGCCAGCTCCCTCTCCTTCTGTGGAAAGAAGCGGCAAGAAAAACTACACGTACAGACTCCCCTGTAGCGGAGTTCATCCAATTAGATGCAGCCACACAGAGATTTTGGAAGTGGAAATAGGTTGGGGCAATATTCCCATGTGCCTTTGCTGTCCTGCGAGCGACCAGCACTGCTGAACTTGACACTGCTCTGAAATACCATTCCGGCGTCGGCTCTCCAACGCCAAGTGGAAGACTAATTGGTTTTAGCCTTCCTAGTATATTAGTTGAATATGATTCTTTTGAAAGGCTTCAGCCTAGAAGTAGATCTTTCAAACCTTTTAAATTTTCCACGGAGCAAAAAAATTTTATATAGTAAACCCTTCTGTTGATTATATCTACCATGGTTTCTGGTTCCTTCAACAAAGACTGACTGGTAGAGCCACGAGCTGATGTTTCAGAATCAATTATAGAGAAAAAGGGCTCTTTCTGCAAGCAGCCTGTGGGGAGCTGTAAATACGACTCACAGTTGACTTGACCCAGGAAACCCGCTACCCTCATGCAAAGCAAGAGGTTCAAATATTCACGTTCACTTGAACATTCACGAAACTGCCATCGAGGGAATGTACATGGGAAAAGCCACCAAGATTCTGAGAGATGTCACTTTATTGAAGCAGTGTGTGCCGGCACCTTGTCGCAATGCTGGAGCTGGGAGGTGCGTGCAGGCTGCACACAGAGCCGACCGCCCAGAGGGAGTGCTAGGTTTTTGCGGCACGTGCTTACAACTGCGGAGGGCAACACCGAACCAAAGGAGTGACGTGCAGATTCTGCGGTCACTGAGCACATCCAGGTGAGTGAAAGCTGCCGGACTGACTGGCAGCACTCGAGGTCAGCTAGACCCACACGTGAGCTGCCCTTGCAACGCTGAGGTGATCCTTACTGTAAAAGAACAGGCTGTTTCTAAGTCAGAAGAGGAGACTGGAGAGAAGAAAAATATATCTCAAGAAAAACGAGAAGCAGCCGTGATCAGCGTGGCTCAGTTGGTTGGTTGGGCATCGTCCTGCAAAGTGAAAGGTCTCCACTTCAGTTCCCAGTTAGGGCACGTGCCTGGGTTGAGGGTTTGGCCCCGGTTGGGGGCGCATACAAGAGGCAACCCATGGATGTTTCTCTCCCTCTCCCTTCCTTGCCCTCTTTCTAAAAAAATTTTTTTAATCTTTTTTTTAAATGAGGAACAAAAACTTGTAGCCTGGGAGTAAGTGTAGCATAAAATAAATGCACAGAGAACTTCTTAAAAATTATGGGAGGAGGATTATTTTTCCCTAAAAGAATATTAAAAATTAAGTAACTATCACACTGTATTCTAAAAATTTAATTATACTGGTAAACAAGAACAAATTGTTAGAGTTAAAATGACTCATTAATTTTCATCGATGCAGATGTTCCAACAAAATTATATAAAGTAATGTCATGATATATGACATCTTTTATGAAAAGATGGTCAATTTTTGTAGCATTTGAGAACTTCATCAATTTCCCCAGTGTCCTCTGACAATTCTTTGATATGCAAATTAATTTTTAAACATATCTGCCATATCATTGTCCTTAAGAAATTCACTCTGTCCGGTACTCATGCATCACTTTCCATGTGATTCAGGTTCTCCCTGACTTCAGGTAATTCTACAACTTCCACAAGATGAACAATTTCACCTTTCATTACACTTCATTGTGGTTTAAAACTTCCACAAATAACTGATAAGCTGACCCAGCCCCATCTAAACCATGGTGGGAAATAACAGACAGACTGTGCTAAATGGACAGGAATTTGGAGTTGTACCTAATTTTATAAGTGGTCGATTTGTTAGAGTATATTGTTATGTGTTTTACTCACTTTTTGAATAAAGTGATAATTGAGGGCAGTTAGATAGTACACAGTTGAGAGAGTTGACATATTCCATAAGCTTCATAGGTTTTCACCTGCCATATGCAGTAAGAACTAGCACTAAGAAATGGCAGAGGATATAGATAAGAAAATGAAATTCCCAAACGGAATCTATAACAAAGACGGCAATGCTAGCCTTGGGACACCAAGGAGCTGGTAAAGTCAAAGAATTCATGAAGATGATAATAAGCCGACTGCAAAAGCAAAAGGCTGGAGTGTTTATAAAAAATTGTTTTTATAGAGATAATTATTCTATGCTGAAAACACAGGGAAAAAAAGTTGAGGTGAAGCTGTTTGCTTCGTATGTCATTCCGACCGCAGACAACAAAAATGCAATTTGCTCAAGTCTCTATCCCTCTCGGTGCCCCTATCTTTACCTGCAAAATCACAGCCCTCAGTCAACATGACAATCCACCTTTTCTTCCATTCCAGGGACAAACAGCATTTAAGTTCGTCTCAGATCTTAACGGACTAGCCTGGAAAGGAAGGCTGGCCCTCCATTCTTACAGAATAGCCCAATGTGTGCAGGGTTTTTGGTCCTAAATGCAGTTAAGAGTCTTCAAAGAATCTTATCTGGCCTCCCTTATCCAGGGCCATCAGACAAGAGCCGGCTGGCTCCCCAAGAGGCAAGTTTACAGTCGCAGGGGCCTTATCTCCATAGCACTCTGGAGAAAGCTGCGTGGCATGTCAGCGGTAAGAGCTGATTTCTGCACAGGTTATATGTCATTGTTTCCAGAGGTTTATAAAAAATGTGCATGGTAAATATTAGTTATTATCAAGAAAAAAAGGCTGTCTATTCTCAGGCCATTTCAGCCGACATCATGCCCTCAGGGCCCACCCACAGACGGAGCCGGTTTAATCTCCAAGAGCCTGCCAGGCACCCTGGTGTCCACGGGAAGACCTCAGGTTGGGAGCCTGGTCCCCTGTGGCCTGTGCCTGGTACTTAATCTTCCATCTCTTCAGGGTACAACTAGGCAGATGCCTATCAGATTCTCTCAGGACTTAACATTACAGAAATGTGCTTTTGTTTTTTTCTCCAGTTTGCAAAGAGACTCAGAATTTCCAGTAATTGTGTGAGTTTTACCCCGTGCTGGTAATTCTCACTATTAAAAACAAAAATAAGTGAGGTTTTGAAAGAACGAAAGGAAAAAAGTGATCTTTGTGACTTGGTACAGAATTTATATAACGGGCACATCCTTACATATGGAGGAGATGTAAATGTAGGATAGTCAGTCAACACGGGACATAATATGCCTTATTCGTTGCCAGTTTTAATATTATTTGTATTTGAAAGTATTACTCCAAACCTCTAAATCGTTGTAAGTGGTAGAGGCTGCCATCTGCTTTGGCTGCACGACACACACTTAAATAAGTCAGCCAAAATTCCTCCATTCCTGGGTAATCGTATATGTGGGTGGTGATGGCGAGTTCTCACAAACTGTTTGAACATTTGCATTTCGCAAAATGCAAGTTGCCATTCAAAAATAAAATGTTCACCCAAACCATTTTTCTAAACACAAGATGATCTGATTCCTACGAAAAGAAAACATTACCATAACATTAAGGCTAACGGTCAGAAAGGAGGCCAAGATACACTCAGGCAAAGCTCTTGCTGAAAAGTTAATTTGTTCATCTTTGAGACTTTATTATATTACGTAAGCAGGATACTTTCAGAGCTTAGAATAAAGAAACCGCTTATTGGCAAGTTAACGCTGTGAGAATTGATTTTGTAAATGCTAATGAGATACGTAATTAATTTTCTACCCTACTCAGATGGTCAGATACTGCCAAAGTCTAAGGCCACGTTACTGGCAAGTTAGAATACCTCTAGATGTTTGTAAAATATGAATCCTACTCTTCACAGAAGCGTATGAATTCTCTCTTTGTCGTATTTTGAATTCTAAAACATCCCAAGGTTTTGGAACGAACCAATGGCATTCCAGAGTTTTCGATAAAACAGCACACGCTGTATGTGATCCTAAAGGACAGGAAATCCAGATTTTAAATAAATAAGATCATATACAAATACAAAGCACAATCAACTTCAAGTCTGAAAGGGAATTTCAAGAAAGAAGGGACGATGGGAAAATATGGGTAAGTGTTAAGTAACTTACCTAGGATTCCTTAAAGTAGAACTTATTATGAGGGGGGAACGTTTCACACAGAGAGACTACCAATGGCATCTCCAGAATCCTTACAATGAAACAGAGGATGAATTATTGAAATGGTAATATTTCTGAGCTGGAATGAAGATGACAACCCTCTCCTGTTCCCTCCATCACATAGACGAGAAATGGGCAGTGAAGGGCGGCAGGATAAGTTAGAAATCATAATCGCCAGTATCACGTCCAGCATCTCTTTTCTGACATCGTAACTGATCATCTGACCGATGGTCCGAGTCGGCCTCCATTAGCAAATAACAATGGAAGTAATAAACGATGTGTCTGGGGAAAGAGGCTCCCACAATGGAAATAAACAGCCTTCGTGCCTCCCTCATATCTTCTCCGTTTTCCCCTTAGTTATTTGGGCTAAAGTACGGCAAGATGCTGTACCGCACCTTAAAGCAATACATTCTTTAATTGTCCCAGTGCGTGCAAGGGGAACA